TGGAATCTGTCGACTTTTGGAACCGGAAAAAGTCCCAAAAGAGCCGTTTGTCCCCCTCGATGTCTCCTCCCCTCGGTGTTTAATGGCAGTATTTTCTCTGTGGAGCATCCGGAACCTTTAGTCAGGTTTTCATGTCCCTGAAAACAAAATTATCTGACACTTCAGTCCCACTTTAAATATCATCTGGAGAAATGGGTCTTTAGGTCTGACTGACACGCATAAAAAATGAAGTCTGAATGACTATTTAGTTTCCTTTATGAGCCACAATTTCAGCAGCAGGTCGATACCACTTACATGCTGTTAGCATAATGTACGTAAGGAATAGAAAAACAGCCTCCGTTTGCTGTAAAAATGTGGAGAAATTTTAGTTTAAAAAAAAAAATCTGGTCCGTTTTTAAGCCGAGATGGAAATCAGGATTCAGCAAATGTTGAAATACTGAATAAATCCTCATCTACGATGAGGCATTTATTTATTATTTCCACGTCATGCGTCCATTTTTTATTGATTTTTTTACAAATAAACATCCAGACAAAAATTTGCCTGCAGTATCCTAAATAGTTTTTAGCCCCGAGTGCTTTTTTAATGCGAAAACACGACAGTGGTATCAATTTTCTGATTGAACTAAAGAAGAAATGACGACTTCTCAAATCTATTTTCTCTAAAACAATGTGTTTTTTTGCGTATTCTGGTGATAAAAGTGTTTTAAAAAATCCCGGTCAGGCTTTTAGCAGCTGCGATTCCAGGAAACATTTCTAATCAGGACAAATTCGTGTCAAAGTAACGTGGATTGGTAGAAGCTCAGCGGGTTTTTGTGTCCAGCGCAGAAACTCCTTAATATTTACAGCTGACCTTTGACCCCAGAGGAGCTTTAGGCCTCCTGTGGGCCTCCACACGGCCTCAGAGGAGCCTCCCTGCTCACCAAAGACCACCAGCAGGGGGCACCAGAGAGCTGGGGGGGGGAATCAAAAGTGGGACACCCCTTAAACTGACCCCCCCCCATAAACTGTCAGCGGGCCTTTTCCCGCCCCGAATTTGCTGTTAAATGTCAGAGCCAGCCTTCTTCTCGGTGTCGTCCCGTCTGTGTGTGTCTGTGTGTGTGTGTGTGTGTGTGTGTGTGGGTGTGTGTGTGTGTGGTGAATATCCCCCCCCCCCACCGACTGTAATCCCTCCCAAAATGGCCTTGAATCTTTGGGCTCCGGCGCCCGATGAGGTGCTCTGTACAAAAGCCTGGTTTATTACAGATGTTGTGTATATCTTTGATATTCTAATGTTTATCCTATTTTGTGAAGAAGAGAGTTCGTTTAGAAGGAAAAAAAAATCAAGACGTTAGTGAAGTGTGTGCGTTGGTACTGCACAGAGTCTGACCTTTGCTTTTAACCCCCCCCCCCCCCCCCCTCATGGCTAAAAGTATGTTAGATATTTTCTAGCTTTGTAGAGACTTTGTACGCATATGCTATTCAGTTTAAATAAATGGTCAGTTCTAAACTGTGCCCCCGGATATTTCTTTTTTCTGACACTCGGTTTCATACAGACTGATTTTTGCTTGAATGTGATAAAAATAAATTTCATCACTCATTCTCCCAACACAAAAATCTGGAGTCTGTAGGAAATTCTGAATCAAAGGCAAATCAGTATAAATACAGAGTTACGGCAACAGTAGGTTCTATTTGATCATTTTTAAAGGTTTGATACAGATTCACTTTATAAATTATCCAGATTTTGGCAGAGAACCAGCCTTAATGGTGATAGTTAGAAAAATAGAGGAAAATATAAAAGGAATAAACATGTATTTGACTTATCTTACATAAAGTAACGTAGCTGTTTGTAAAAATGTCATTAGAAGGAAGAGTGTTAGCTGAGTTTGATCTTCACCAGATAACAAAAAAACAAACAATAACCCAGAATTCCAAGGACCCATCTTATAATCCCCGTTATTTGCCATCATTTTACCTTTTTTTGGTTATTTTGTTTTGTGCCAAACACCAATCTGAGCCCTCAGCTCTGCCCTTCCGCGTTTGACCAGCAGAGGGCGCCACAGACAAACTATTTACACACACACACATTCATCAGCACTTTGTTTGGACCATTTTCCAGAACTTTACAAGATTAAGAATCTAAGACACACACATTCATTACAAGCCACCTTTAAAACGTGTTTCCAACCAATAATGATAATCTTTTTTTAAATCAAGCCTCTCTTTAAACGTAACTGGAAAAGGGCCAATCTTGACATCCAATAATTTTGCAAGTCAAACACATTCAGTGACTTCCCAGGAAATGAGATCAAAAATGACCCCCCCCCCACCCACCCCCCCACCGGCCCCCCCCCCCCCCCCCCCCCACACACACACACACACCAGACGTAGCAGCCACGATCCTCTTAATCCAAATCTAGAGTTTGTAATGCGTAACCGTGTGCGCGCGCCTCTGGATGTCTGTGTCAGATCTCGTCGCGTGCGTGCGCGCGCGCTGGCATTCCCAGATGGATTCCTAAGCACTTATTTCACCAACAAATGTGGCCTGGACAAAAGTCGCCGCACACAAACACGCGGATTTTTAGATAGACGCTTACGCTTAAACAACACACACACACACACACACA